AGAGGGCTGAATGGCCTCCTCCTGTTCCTGTGCAACAGGCTCGAGGAAGAGGGGCTGAATGAGCTCCCCTAACCCCTTAGCAGTTTACAGAGTCAGTGTCAACAAATACCCCTCTAACTCACGAAGGCTGTAATTTTTCCCGTCCCCTGTGATCGCTCTCACACCTCGATTTCCGTGGATATTTGAGTTGTTTTTATTTTGAAAGTGTGGTGGAGCTGGAGGCAGTGTCAGAGGAAGCGGGAAAGCTGACGTTTCAGAAATGGGGGGCTTGGCTTCTCCGTGGGGTTATAACTCACTCAGTGTTATCATAAGTCAGAGCTAACACAGCGAAGGAGCTGGAGGAACACTAGGGGCATTTAAGCGGCTATTAGATAGGCATACGGCTGATAGCATAAGGTAGGGGTGGAGGTTAGATAGACCTTAGGTTTAGGGTAAACGTTCGGCACAACATCGTGGGCCGAAGGGCCTGCACTGTGCTGTACTGTTCTAACACAGCAGGCCGGGCGGCATCAGAGGAGCAGGAAAGTTGACGTTTCGGGTCAGGACCCTTCTCCAGAAACGTCAACTCCCCTGCTCCCACCCCGATGCTTCCCGGCCTTTCCTCCAGCTGCGTCGTCTCCAACTCCGGCATTGGCAGTTCTTACGATCTCTGTTTGTTTATTTATTTTTTCCCTCTGGGCTCTGCTCGGAAGCGTTCACTCCGCTTGGCGGCCATTTTCACCAGTTACCCCCCCCACCCCCTCACCTTCTTGTCTCTGGTCTCCCGCCTTTCTCTCTCTCTCTCTCTCTCTCTAGAAGTGGAGGATTCCTATTCGGAAGTGCCCTCTGACTACTTTGCGACGGATCTGGAGTACGAGGACCGCACGGGGGATTCGGCGCTGGCGCAGGGCACCACGGAGGGATTGGGGGCGACCGAGTCGGAGGCTCCCGGGGAGGTCGAAGGCGACGTCTCTCCCTTCGGGCCCAGTGTCGCGCCGCTGGGCAACCCGGGCACCCCGGTTCCGACGCCTCACGCTGCCCTGGCGGTGCCCAACCTCGGCACCGTCCTGCGACCGCCAGCCACCTCCCCCCCGGCCCGGGACCAGTGGGTAACCGCACCCCGGCACCCCCCGGAGATGGTGAACCGGGCCCCCCCCACCGGCAGCGGCAAGGACCAGGACCCGTTCCGTGCCCCGGGAGACGGGCAGACGGGGGGCGGCGAAGAAGGCTCCGATGACCGGGAGCCCCCATCGAGCCAGTGGGGCTCGGCCACGGCTGCGCCAGGAGCCACCGCTCGGGAGAAAGGGGGCGGGGAAGAGGAAGGGATGCACACGCTGAACGTCCTGCGGCCAACAGGTAGGCCCCCACCCCTCCATCCCTGACGCTGTCGATTCCCGGGCGCGGGTCGGTTCGGGGAGGGGGTTGCGTTTCCGTAGCGCCTACTGCGGGGCATCTGGGGGAGGCGATGGCCCGATGGTATCATCGCTGGACTGTTAATCCCGGTAACGTCCTGGGGGCCCGGGTTCGAATCCCATCAGGGCAGATGGTGGAATTTGAATTCAATAAAAATAAATCTAGAACTAATGGTGACCGTGAGTCGATTGTTGGAGAAACCCACCTGGTTCACCAATGTCCTTTAGGGAAGGAAACTGCCATCCTTACCTGGTCTGGCCTACGTGTGACTCCAGCCCCACAGCAATGTGGTTGACTCTGAACTGCCCTCTGGGGTAATTAGGGATGGGCAATAAATGCTGCCTGGCCAGCGATGTCCTCATCCCGTGAATGATTAGAGAGAATAGAGCCTCACAAACAATGGGACACCCCCCTGGGTGGTCCAGCAAACCTCGCTCCCCACCCCCCCTCCCCCAACCAAATGTAACTAGGGAAACGTGGTGACCTGTTTCGGCACAGCAGGATCCCATTATTCAGCCACACGCGTCCTTAACCACATGCAGGGCCAGAGATCTTAAGTCATGCTCAGTGTCGTGGCCAGGCCGCAGCTAGAGGGGGGTGTGCACGGTGGGGAAACGGGGTCCCGACTCCGCCCGCTGCCCTGAGGCATTGAAACTCTATCCGTATCTTAACGGGTTGCGGACCCCCAACTCGAGGTAGAGATGAGGGGCCGTGCCACGGCCACACGGAGAACGAGGCGAATTTAAATTATGATCGCTCTTCCCAACTTACGCCGGAAAGGCTCCTCGTTTACCCCTTTTAGCTCCTGCCCCGTCACCGAGCTGGGCCAAAGGCAGTTTCTGAAATGCTCCTTTTCAAACCTAACTTCTGAACGAACGCCACGGCAAAACCATTTCAGGATGAAGAGTGGTATTCACAACAACAGGGTTGGTGCTTCACCCGAGCACTCAAAGTTTGGCAAGAGAGCAGATAAGTTAGAAAATTGTCGAGCTTTAATGAAGCGAGACGCATCTAACAAAAAAAAATCAGTTCACGCACTAATAGATTTTTTCAGTGTGCTGGGTCCAGTGGTGTTCCTAACTTTCTAGCCAGTTCTTATTAAAAGAGATTTGGAGAGTTGGAGTATTCTGGGCAACTTACCAACTCTCCCTCTGCAGACCCAAACTGAGTTAGAATCCCAACATTTATGAACTTTTAAACGAATCGACAAGCAGCAGTTTCGACCACGAGTCTAAGACCCAGGCTGATGGACCCAAGTCGGTGGGCTTTAATTGGAAAGTTATGAAGCAAACGCTATGGCTTCACCTTCCCTTCATAATGACGCGCCACTTTTGAAAGCCCGTTTTAGCATAAAGGTGGTGATAGTAACAGGCAGCTTATCTCTGAATCATTTGTGCCGATTCGAGAGTGTCTGTACGGGGCAGGGGATCCAGAAGCTTCGGCAGAAGTGAGCAAGTCTGACCATTCCACGAGCCTAGCGAAGTTGTCCACTTTTACAAGAGTTGGAAGCTGAAAATCGGAAGGAGGACCTGATTTTTATTCTTTTTTTAAGAAACCGAAAGAACTTTGGACGCTGTGAAGCAGGAACGAAAACAGGAGTTGCTGGAAAAGCTCAGTCAATTGGAAAGTTGGCGTTTTGGGTCCGCTGACCCTGCCCTTCCTCAGAGGAAGGGTCACCTCACCTGAAACGTTAGCTCTGACTTTTTTTCTTCACAGATGCTGCCAGACCCTCTGGGCTTTGCCAGCAACTTCTGTGTATTTTTTGGAAGCTGATCAGAGGTATAGATAGAGTGGACAGCTAGAGACTTTTTCCTAGGGTGGAGGTAGCTATTACGAGGGGGCATAGTTTTAAAGTGAGTGGAGGTAGATATAGGGGAGACGTCAGAGGTAGGTTCTTTACTCAGAGAGTGGTCGGGGCGTGGAATGCATTGCCGGAGAGGGTAGTGGAGTCGGCCTCATTAGGGGCATTTAAGCGGCTATTAGATAGGCATATGGATGATAGTATAAGGTAGGGGTGGAGGTTAGATAGACCTTAGGTTTAGGGTAAAAGTTCAGCACAACATCGTGGGCCGAAGGGCCTGTACTGTGCTGTACTGTTCTATGTTCTGTGATTGTTATTTTTGGTTGGGGTGTATCACTGTGTGCTTTCGGGCCACAATAGTTGGAACAAGCTGAAGATTGAGGGGCGGGGGGGAAGGGGTTGGGGAACAAAAGGCCCAGGCTACTTCCCACGCAAGAAAAAGTTGGCCACGTGCTCCAAAAGCCCCGGCCTTCAGGGAACGGACACGTCTGCTTGCCCCCAAACGCTGTCTAGCAGTCCAGTGGATCAGTTTAGCTCAGTTGACTGGATGCTTGGTTTGCGAGGCAGTGTGAGACTAGCAGTGTGGGTTCAATCCCTGCATTAGCACAACTTGACACAAATGGGTCTCCTTCTCAATCTCTCCCTTCGCCGGAGCTACAATAGCCTTCAGATTAAATCACACTGCCCCCATCCCCAGTGACTGGGGTGGATTGGCCATGCTAAATTGCCCCATAGTGCCCAGGGATGTGCGGGTTAGGAAGGGTTGGCCGTGGGAAATTGTCCCGTAGTGCCCAGGGATGTGCAGGTTAGGGTGGATTGGCCATGGGAAATTGTCCTGTAGTGCCCAGGGACGTGCGGGTTAGGGTGGATTGGCCGTGGGAAATTGCTCTGTAGTGCCCAGGGATGTGTAGGTGAGGTAGGTTAAACATGGGGAAATGCAGGGGTAGGGGAATGGGTCTGGGCGGGATGCTCTTTGGAGGGGCAGTGTGGACCTATTGGGCCAAATGGCCTGTCCCCACGCTGTACGGATTCTACCAACACCAGGCCCCTTCGGTGACCTCAAAACTAGCTCATTTATCGGAAACGTGCTGTTTAACTGGTTACCTGAGCTACTGTGTTGGATCAAAGCATCGTAATGTACACATAGACAGGATGAGACAAGACAGCTCTGCGGCATGCAGTGGATAGGAGAAAAAATAGGCTTTATTAAAATGCAGTACTGTTGTTGATCAAGGGTTTGAATGCAGATCATAAATGGGTCGACTTCTCACAGCTCTTTCTGTCGACCAAACTTGATTGCAGTCAGTTTCAGAGCATCGGTGAACCCTGAGCTCAGGTGGCTGATCAGTTAGACCCAGGTCTTTGGATTGAGTTGACCATTTGACCTTTGGAGTCGATGAGGATGTCAGAGAATGCTTCCACAAGATAAATCTCTAACTAAATTTATTCCAAGGGTTATCAGAGAGGAAGAGAGATAGAGGGAGGAGAGGAAAAGATAGAGAGAGACTTGGCATTGCATCCTCCCACAATGGACCAACTCTTGAGTCCGTGGCAAAACAGAAACCAGAGGTTCAGAGGCTGCTGATAGATGCTTCTGAACCTCGGTCTGTTTGTCCAACAATTGTAAGCCATTCAGCAGCCCATTATCTCTCTTTTCAAGCCTTTTCTCCTCAAGTCGCTGGCCTTTTGCGAAACGTGGGTGCACAACACTCTTTCTAGCTCTCAGTTCCAGAAGGTCATGTTATAAACTCTCTGCAAACCCAGGAATTGTCCAAACCCTCCATCTCGTCCAATTCTCCAATATTTAAATGTATACTGATGGATACAGGTCTAACCCATCCCACTATTCCTCGTCCCTCCACGCCATTCCAGATGTGGCCTCACCAATACACCGTACAGCAGCATCCCTATTTTTATATTCCGTTCCTTTTGCAATGTACAACAACACTCCCTTAGCCTTCCCAACCACTTGCTGTAGCTGCAGATTAACTTTATGTACTAGGACACCCAGATCTCCCAATGCTACAGAGTCCTGAAGTCTCTCTCCCACACCTCAGTGGAAGGATTAAAACCGCACCGAGGGCCAGAAGGTGAAACGAAAACGCTAAAATGCTGGGGGAGCTCAGCAGGTCTGGCATTTCCATGCAAGAGAGAGAGAGAGAGAGAATTAACGTTTCCACTCTGAAGGTGAAATCAGGCTTGTTAAGGGGGTTGGGCTCATTAACCTGTCTACCCGCTCCCCCCCCCCCCCAGCCCCCCCAACATTGTACGACAGCTGACTGACCTGCGCCCCCACTCTTGCCTTAGAGTCGTGGATTCTTACAGTACAGGAGGCCGTTCGGCCCGTCGGCTCTCCGCCCAGCTAGCCCCACTCTCCAGACCTGTCTCCCATAGCCCTCTAAATTCATCGCTTTCAAAGACATCTTTCGAAACCTCAGATGGAATCGGCCTCCACCGCTCTCCCAGTGTGCATCCCAAAACCTAACAAGTCTCTGAGTAAAGCGTTTCCTGTCTCACTTCCTAGCTCTCTTGCTGACAGTCTTGAAGCTAATTACGGATGCGCCAGCCATGGAAACAGACTATCCTGCTTTACGCTGTCAAAATGGAACAGCTCGGCAAGGTGGTTTGAGGGTTCTTAGAGGCTGGCACATGTTGGTTGCCAATGCGTTTTAGTGCCCGTAGAGATGTTGGTGCCTGGGCTTTGGCTTTTTTCTATTCATAACTTCTACTAAACAAACATTTCTCTCTCTCTCTCAGCGATAAAACCAACAGCTGGTTCTGCGACCACTACCGTTTGTGGAGGACAGTTCCAAACCTCTACCACCCCGCTTCGCGCGGTGCATGCGCAGAAATGCTCGCTAGCAACAGAAACAGAAATTCCTGGAGAGAAATATCTCAGCATCTGCGGAGGGAGATGGAGTCAATGTTCTCGGGCCTGGCGACCGCTCTCTCCCCAGATGCCGAGATTTCTCCAGCAATTTCCGTTTTTGTTTCTGGCTTCCAAGCTCCACAGCCCCTTCAGTTTCTTTCCTTTAAAAGTTTTTGGCAAAGATCCGTAGCTCGGGTTGTGGGGTGAGGTTATTGACTTGCTCGCCAAGCTGGCTTGTTTTCTCGTTCAGACGTTTCGTCACCATGCTAGGTGGCATCATCAGTGGAGTCTCTGATGAAGCGATGTTATTCTACTCCGCTTTGGAATTCATACTCTCCGGCCCGTTATGGTGAGTAGTGTCATTTCCAGTTTTGATCTGTACGGGTTTCTATATGGGGACCAATTCTATATGTTTCTTGATTGCATTATGGGTGGAGAACCATGCCTTTAGGATTTCCCGTGCGTGTCTATGTTTGGCTTGGGCTATTATGGTTACCTTGTCCCAGTTAAATTGATGGCCTTCATTGTCTGAGTATTAAGGAGAGCTCGTCGTGCCATTTTGCTGCTAGCTGATGTTCGCGTATTCTGATGGCTAGTTTCCTTCCTGTCTGTCCAATGTAATGTTTGTGGCAGTCGTTGCGTGGTATTTTGTAAACCACGTTGGTTCTGCATGTTGTGGGAAAGGGGTCTTTAATCCTCATCAGTGTTTGTCGTAGAGTGGCTGTGTGCTTGTGGGCCACCGTGATTCCTAGCGGTCTTAGGAGTCCCGTTGTCAGTTCTGATATGTTCTTGATGCAGGGCAGTGTGTTAGGGCGTGCTGTGTGCCCCTGTTGTTGTCTGTTTTGTAAGCACCTGTGGATGAAGTTGCGGGATTATCAAGTTAAAGTGAGGATCTTGTATATAAGTGATCTTCCTCTTTCCTGTGTAGTTCTGGCGTGTTGCAGTGTGTCCTGGCCCAGTTAAATAGTGTCCTAACACAGCTTTGTTTGTGGATGTTGGGCTGGTTGGTGTCGAAGGTGAGGATTTGGTCAGTGTGGGTTGCTTTTCTGTATACTGAGATTTGGAACTCCCTGTTGGTCATATGCTCAACTTTAACATCCAGAAATGGAAATTGATTGATTTAACAACTACTCACCCTCCCAGCCTGATGGTTAGCAACTCCTTTGTCTGTCCAACTGTCTTTCTCTCTCTTCGGGCTGTACCCTATCGTTCACTCCCTATCCCACCCACCTCCCTATTTTCTGCATATAAACTAACATTTTCCCAGCCACCATCAGTTCTGAGGAAGGGTCACCGGACCCGAAACGTTAACTCTGTTTTCTCCTCCACAGATGCTGCCAGACCTGCTGAGCTTTTCCAGCAACTTTGTTTTTGTTCCTGATTTACAGCATCCGCAGTTCTTTCGGTTTTTAACGGAAATTGATTGTTGTTTTCTTCTTCCCCTGTGGATTTAATCCCGGCGAATGCGCTGTTGATGAGGCGCTGGGTCTGTTCGAATTTGCTGCGTTTAATAATGACAAATGTGTCGTCTACGTACAGGATCCACAGTCTAGGTTGAATGCAGGGGGAGGGTGGTGTGTTCTAGTCTTTGCGTGACTGCTTTTCCACCCATACTTCAATCAACAAACATATAGAATTGGACAAACCCACACAGATCAAAACTGGAAATGACAGTACTCACCATGACGGACCATTGAGTATAAATTCCAAATGGAGTAGAATAGCATCGCTTCTTCGGAGGCTCCACTGACGATGTGACCGATCATGGTGACGAAACGTCTCAAGTCTTAGCTTTTGATTTTCTCTCTAATCTTTATCTACCCTGCCTTTGCCAGTCGGTGTTTGCACTAAATTAATAGTTTGACATTTGGAGCTGTTGCTTTCTGAACGGTCTCAAATACGCTGAAAACACTTCGACAAGTTAGCTTACAAACAAGAGCAGAAATTGCTGAGGGGTATAAAAAAAAAACCAGCAGTTTCCCAAGGAGGGACATCACTGGACTCTGAAACGTTGAACCTGTTTTCTATCTCTCTCACTCGCACTCCCACAGCGGGACCTGCTGAGTTTCTCCAGCAATTGCTGGTTTTGTTTCTGATGCCCAGCATCTGCAGTTCTTCGCTGGTTTTGCAAACTTTCGAGCTAGGGGTTATCTTCTGCTCAGAAAAGGAGTCAGAAATGTAAAATCAACAATTCCCAGTGACCTTAAGTGCTCCAAATACTTTTGCGTGCATTGCTGTGTGGGCTTGCTCTGGTACAGTACATTTAAAAGGCATCTGGATGGGTAGATGAACAGGAAGGGTTTTTAGAGGGATATGGCTAAATGCTAGCAAATGGGACTAGATTTATTTGGAGGTGAACCTAGGGAGATATGGTTAGTAAGTTTGCAGATGAAGTTGGTGGTGTAGCGGACAGTGAAGAAGGTTCCCTCAGAGTACAACAGGACGTGAACCAGATGGACCGAGGAGTGGCAAATGGAGTTTAATTTAGATAATTTAGGTGCTGCATTTCAGGCCAGGACTTATACACTTAATGGTAAGGTCCTGGGGAGTGTTGCTGGACAAAGAGACATTGGGGTGCAGGTTCATAATTCCTTGAAAGTGGAGTCACAGGTAGACAGGACGGTGAAGAAGGTGTTTGGTACGCTTGCCTTTATGGGTCAGTGCATTGCGTACAGGAGTTGGGAGGGTCATGTTGCGGCTGTAAAGGACATTGGTTAGGGCCACTTTTGGAATACTGCGTTCAATTCTGGTTTCCCTGCTACAGGAAGGATGTTGTGAAACTTGAAAGCGTTCAGAAAAAGATTTACAAGGATGTTGCCAGGGTTGGAGGGTTTGGAGCTACAGGGAGAGGCTGGGGCTATTTTCCCTGGAGCGTCAGAGGCTGAGGGGGGACCTTATAAAGGTTTATAAAATCATGAGGGGCATGGATAGGGTGAATGGACAAGGTCTTTTTCCCCCAGGGTAGAGGGGGAGTCCAAAACTAGAGGGGTTTAAGGTGAGAGGGGAAAGATGTAAAAGGGACCTGAGGGGCAACTTTTTCACGCAGAGGGTGGTGCGTGTATGGAACGAGCTGCCAGAGGAAGTGGTGGGGGCTGGTACAATTACAACATTTAAAAGGCATCTGGATGGGGACATGGATAGGAAGGGTATAGAGGGATATGGGGCCAAATGCTGGCAAATGGAGCTGGATTAATTTAGGATATATGGGTCGGCACAGACGGGTTGGGCCGAAGAGCCTGTGTACAGCTCTATCTTTCTCTCTGTCTGTCTCTAACATTTGTTAGGGGGCCTTGTTTTGGAGGTGGTTCACATTGGCCATTTGTCAACCCAGTTTAAATTCAGAAACCAGCACAAACATAAAAGTGGGATGGCCTGGGTTGCCAGTGTCACCGCGTCTGTGTGTCTGGACTTCCCGCTCCTTGCTGTTTGCTCTCCACTCTCCTGCCTTTTCTGTCCCTCAGGCAAGACCCTGGAGACGAGAGGATGTGGCCGAGGGCAAGATGGAATTCGGGTCAGCGAAGGCCCAGGAGGTCACCAGGGCCCTGCCGGCGAGCCCCAAGGCCCTGAACCTCCTTCCTCCATCTCTGAGGCCTATCGCCGGCAGCCCCACCACCGCCAACGCCATCGAGGGGAGGCCGGAAGCCGGGACAAGGCCCAGGCCCAGGAGCCGAGCTCACAGCCCTCGGCCCTTGGGGGCGAACGTGACAGAGGCCCCCCGAGCGCCCACCCAGAGCCGGCGCTGCACCCTCCGTCTCAGGCCGCCAGCCCTGGGCAAGGGCGGCCAGAAGATTCTGGAAGGTCGCCCGCTACCGGACTCTGGCCCAGTGGAGTGACCCATGGAGGGAAGGAAAGTGCCGAAAACTTGCCGGCTCCAGGACTTTTGGAAAGCTCTAGAAGTTTGCAAGAGGCCGGACTCTGGCCTGGAATGACCCGCCAAGGGATGGAAGGTTCCAGAAACCCGCCGACACCCGGCCTCGTGGAAAGTTCTAGAAACTCGCAGGAGGCCGGACTCTGGCCTGGAATGACCCGTGCAACAAAGGAAGGTTCTGGAATCCCGCTGACCCTGGGCCTCGTAGAAGGTTCCGGAAACTCCCCGTTCCTGGGGCTCCGGCCCAGCGGAGGGATGGAAGGTTTCGGAAGGTCGCCGGCCGTTCCGGTCCGCCCATCGGACGGCCCGAGCAGAGCGAGCGAGGGAGCGGAATGTTCCGGAAGCTGGCCGGCACCCGGCCTTCCGGAAGGTTCCGGTAGCTCGTCGGCTGCCCCAGGGCCCCCGGGGGAGCAGGGAGAAGGTTCCAGAAGGAACGGGAGCAGCCGTGTGTCTCCGTCTGGACAGGTTTCTGGCTGCAGGGATACGGGGAATCCGCAGTTGCTCCCGTTTCCAGTCTCTCAGGCTCCAGGCCTAACCGTGGGCCTAGGCTCAGCCCCCCGGGCCTGGGATCCTCTCAGCTCCTCTCGGCCTGGCCGTGGTCCCAGGATCCGAGCTGACGGAGACCACAGCCAGCAGGACCCTCCTCCTCCATTTGGGGTTCCCTCGGAGGAAGGGAGTGCGCTGGAGCCGGTAGCTCCCACCAATGATGGACCAACTGAGAAGTCGGCTTTCGGGAAGGCGACACCTCTGAGGGGGAACCAAGGCCGGGGGACCCTCCTCATCTTCATCGGAGCGCTCTCTGTCCACATATCGAGGCACTAAACCTCCACTACCTTCCCTTTCTCCCTCACACGTCCTCCCTGTCCCTCCCCTTCCCCATTCCGCCCCCGCCCCTGTCCCCCACTCCCCTTCCTCCGCTCCCCCTCCCTGCCCCACACGTCACCCCTCCTCCTTGTTCCCACCGTCGCCCCTCCCCGTCCTCACCTTCACCCGCATTCCCCCACCCCCCACCTCCCCCTCCCACTGCCCCTCTGTTCCCCATCCCCCCCCCCACTGCCCCCCCCCCCCACGTCCAGCCCACCTCCTCCCTGCATCCCAGCCCCCCAAACCCTTCCCCGTCCCCTCTCCCATTCCACATTCCCCCCACCTCTGCTCCCAACTGTCCCGCTCCCCCATTTTCCTGTCCCCCCATTCCCCCACTCCCCCATTCCTCCCTTCACCATTCCCCCACTCCCCCATTCCCCTACTCCTCCATTCCCCCACTGCCCACTTCCTGCATTCCCCCATTCCCTTGCTCCCCCACTCCATGATTCCCCCACTCCCCCATTCCCCCACTCCCCCACTTCCCCATTTCCCCACTTACCCATTCCTCCACTCCCCCATACCCCATTCCCTTGTTCCCCCATTCCCAAGCACCCCCACTCTCCCATTCCTCCACTCCCCGAACCCCCATTCCCCCATTCCCCCACTCCCTATTGGAGAGTGGGGGAGTGGAGAAGCGGCAGAATGGGGTAGTGAGGGAATGGAGGAGTGGGGGAATGGAGGAATAGGGAGTGGGGGAATAGGGAGTGGGGGAATGGGGGAATGGGGGTTCGGGGAGTGGAGGAATGGGAGAGTGGGGGTGCTTGGGAATG